ATATATATGTGTCTATATATATATGTGTGTGTGTATATATATATATGTATGTGTATGTATATGTGTATGTGTGTATATGTGTGTATGTATACGTGTATATGTGTGTATGTATACGTGTGTATGTGTGTATGTATACGTGTGTATGTATAAGTGTGTATGTATGTGTATGTATACGTGTGTATATACAGTATATATGTATATATATATATATATATATATATATATATGTGTATATATATATGTATATATATGTATATTTCTTTTTCTCGTGATGCTGCCGGTTTTTATTTCTTGCGTGTGCAGTGACGACGGTGCGTTTCCCCGCAGCGCCAGGCCTCCCTTATCAGTATGCCGCGTGCACTTCCTCTCTAAACATGGCCAAAGCTTTTGCGAGCCGTGAAGCTTCACTGATAAGATAACAGACAAAGCCTTCTCTCTTTGAGCAACGCGTGAAATAGAAAAAAATACAGGAGTTCTCTGCCCGTGGAATTCGATCGGGAAGAACAGCATGAAGAGCGAATCACATGCTCGGAAAATGAATGAGTCCGATCTGAACCGCGAGGTAACAGGCGAGTAAGGAAGTCAATTTTTAGTGAAGGAAACAAAAGAAAACACAGAGCTGAGACTTCTGGTGTGTGCTAGGTGAAGATGATCTGCAGAGCATATTTAAATACTTTGCCATGGCAACAGGCTCCATGATTAGGGGCAAACAGGCAAAACTGCTGCAGCACTCGGGATTGAGATGATACGAATTAAGGGAACTCTGGACTGTTGCCAAGGAGATGAAATAGGCGAAGGGGTTAGAGTCCAACCTAAACACACCTTAAAGCTATTTTAGTGACAGCAGAGTGGGTGGGGGGAGGACGGGGGAGGGGAGAGGAGGAGGAGGGGGGTTTCTGACAGCCGAGCTCCACAAATAATCGCCAGACCTGCCGAGAAGTGTGATCAGAGTTCAAAATCCTTCTCCGTGTGTGTGTGTGTGTGTGTGTGTGTGCAGACTTGTGCGGCTTTCATTGTTCTCCGTTTTCAGTGTTTCACGTCTCTCACACCTCCGCTAAACACACACAAGAAAAAGAAGAAGCAGCTCGTAGTCCAGTTGAATTTCATGCATTTTCTTTATTGTTCCTCAGGGGATTCTTTTAAAAAGCCCAAATACCGCTTTTTTTTTTTTTTGCGTGACATCATCATCATCATCAGAAATAACAAAAGTGACATTGTGGCTTTGTGACAACAGGCCTCCAGGTTTTCAGTGTTCAGATGCTTAAAGGTGCAGAAACGGGGACGGACGCCCCCGGGTGAAACATACAAGTCAAGAGGGTTTTGCTCAAAGGGTCCCACATTATCTAGATTTCATTTACCGGAGTATTTCAGAGGATTCACGTTCTGGCATCAGTAGTTTAAAGCTACGGTTGGTAATCTTCTTCAGAAACGTTTTTGTTGTATTTGTTGTAAATGTGTCATCATATCCTGACCAGGAGGCAACCTCCGGTTCTGCCGAGTGAAGCTGATGCGGAAGAGTCTTAAAACTGCATTCTCACTAGTGTCCACCAGGGGGCGACTCCTCTGGTTGTATAGAAGTCTATGAGAAAATGACTTCTCTCTTGATTTATTACCTCAGTAAACATTGTAAACATGAGTTTATGGTCTCAATCTCTAGTTTCAAGTCTTCTTCAATACAGCATGATGTTCATTTAGTACATTATGGTCCATTTAGAGTCACACAGACCATAAAGCAGGGGATGCTTTAGGGCGGGGCTTACTGTGATTGACAGGTCTCAGAGACGTATACGACATCTCTACGTCACTCCACCACATTTTCCAAAATGGTAACTTCTGTTCATTGGTTGCAAAAAAAACTAAACGCTTCACTCTCATTGAAAAGAATTACAAAAAGCCGTCACAGGCTGCTAAAACTGTCTGTAGTTTGATTTATGCGCCATGCTAGGATCCTACGATTCCCATAATGCAACTCAATAGTGTCTTTCATTAGACCATCCCTGCCATCCCTCCACATTAAGTAGCACATGCCTTATGTTAAAAATGTGAACTATTCAAGCCTAAACTGAGCTAACCCCGATGACATCACTATGACATCATCAGGCTTATCATCCTCCAGAGCTGCATATTCCTCTTTATTCTGTCATTTGGAGCCATTTCAAAATAAAACTGCGACAACTAGATGATGCGGGACCCAGAACCATTTTCCATTTCTTCTCCTCCTGCCGTTAGAAAATCAAAATATTTCCTGAATAATTTGATCATTTTAAAAGCTTTAAAGTACACGTAGTGACATCCAGTGTGTTACTTTTTCCAGATATTTGAAATCAGCCGTTCTGCCTGAAGCTGAGCCCAAAGCAGACGAAGGCAGTGACTGTTTTCCACCAACACTGCTTTCTTTTACTTCATAAAGAAAGAACAGCGGCATTTAAGAAAAAGTTAATGAAACAGTCAGGCAGTATTGACAATACTTAAAGCACAGTAGAAGAAGGCTTTTGTTCAGGCACTTGTTAAACTCCCTCTGTGTCTCTTTTTTCTTTTAAAATTCCAATCATGATTCGCTCACTTGTTGAACAACAATTACAGAGACATGGAATGCTCTTTCCTTATTTTCTCAGTATAGTGGTGATTATGGTAATAAGTTTGGTTTGGGCCAAACATCTGTGTGTGTGTGTGTGTGTGTGTGTCTGTGTGTGTGAGAAAGAGTGTAAGAGGTGAACACGTAGGAACGAATGGAAATAATGGCACAGATTCCATCTCCAGTCCTCACACGTGAGTAGAATAAGCAACGCAAGTAAACATTTTCTCTTTACCTCTTGAAAAAAAATACGGAAAAATAATTTTACATGAAACTTAAGATTGTTAGATGAAAAAAACAACAACAACAACAACAACAGCCTCAATGACAAATCAAGACATGTTTTTTCTTTCAATAATCCATTTAAAAGGCATCGAGTCGTCTCCGATTGTTGGAAATCACTTCTGACAGAAGATTCACAGAAGACAGTTTAATTTGAAATCCTTGACGTTTGGCATCCTTCAGTGTTTCTGTTTCCAAATATTGATATTATTTGAGCCAAATATTTACTCTACCTTTGTTTAAACTTAAAGGAACCGTTGAGAGGATTGATACCTGTTTGATAGGCCCAAGAGGTGTTTAGCTTAGCTTAGCACAAAGCCTGGAAACGGAAGGAAACTGCTAGCATAGCATAGCTCTGGCTAATGTTTAAAAAAACTTTTCATCCACATGAAATTGATATCCGTCTTTTTGTTTTTGACGTTGGGGTAACACGATAAACAAGAGTTCCCTTAAAGGAGTAGTTCTGCATTTCCCAAAATGCAGTTCTTTGCTTTCTTTCTGCAAGTTAGAGGAAAAGAACGATGCTACACTCACCCGCAGGCAATCACAGGAGCTTAGCTTAGCACAAAGACATGAAGCAGCCGTTTCACCCTGTTTCCACTTTTCATGCTAAGCTAAGCTAATTTCCTGCTGGCTGTAGCTTCATATTTAATGTGCAGACCTGAGAGTGGTTTCGACAGTCTAATCCGTGGTTACACACGTCTTTTCAATGCGACTTCTGTGATCCGATGCACCGGATCAGGACACTTCCTATCCGGATATTGATCAAAGGTCAAAGGAACGACTACTAATCTTTTACAATAAAAGTCCCAGATTGTTTTTTGCTTCTCCCTGCAGTATTAGTAGACCTGTTTTTATTGAAGAAAAGACACTGACAAGGCTCCGCTAATTCTGTGATAGATGCATTTTCCTTTAAATTCTCCACAATAAAAGCCCCTTCGTATTTAAACGGTTTTATTTCGAAGAAATAAAATCAGGAAATGAGTCTCAGCTGGGCTCCTGACCCGCTTTCCCTCCTCTCTTCCCTTTGCTCTCCGTGGGAGAGGAACTCCCACGTGGAAGGGGAAGATGATTAAATAATTTGTCCGGATCGTGTCCACATGCTCATCACCTCACTGAGATCTGAACTCATGAAGATCCTGACAGTTTTTACAGCTTCTGGCCGCGATGAACGTTGTTGTTTTGTTGATTGTTTAAAGAAAACATGCTTTTCCATCCCGCCGGCGGGTTTTGGTGTTGAGAGGGTTAACGGTGTGACCGGACGACATCAGTGCATTGTAAAGACGAGTGTAACCACGACCTCGCCAAGAAAGCATATTCCCCCGAACTCCGTCACTGTCCCTTTAAGCTAACATTAGACATCTTATTTCGGCACTTCATCCGTTATTCCAATGATCTCTGATATCTGTTCCTTCCTGAGGTAGACGGCCCGGTGTCTCTCGTGTGACACGCCAACGACACTTTGGATCATGAATATAAACTTGAGGCTTCTTCGTGCTCGTCTCCGGCGGTTGCTGATTGATAAAGTGTCTCAATGTTGAGCGTGAAAGAAGAGAAATCAAACTGACGGAGACATTCTCAGCCCTCTTGAGACCGGAGGTGGGAGGACATTAGTGAATTCTGTTTTAGAGACTCATCACAGTCAAACATGAAATCAAGACAGCGTCACTCCATTATTTTTATGTTAATGTCAAACGGCAACTCTTCAAGTTGAGATGGTAAAGTGTGGGTTTTAAAGGGTTTCGTGATCCCCAACTCGTGAGATCAGTTTGAAGGAACATTGAGTTCCATCAGGAACAATATAAAAAATCACTAGAAACAAAAGTCACAAGGTTTTTGACAGTGTCCAAGACCGACAGCTCTGACAGCCCCCCCCCCCCCATCTGAAATCCACCTCAGCTAAAGGCAACAGCCAGCTCCATTTACATCGTCTCTGTTTCGTATCCCAGAGCCAATTAAAAGGTGTGAGATGCCTCCATCAGTTCCGTTTTCCATGTCGCTGTCAAAACGCGCCCCCCCCCCCC